GGAGGAAAAAAGGAAGGAAGAGAGGAGAAAGGGAGGAAAGAAAGGAAGGAAGAAAGGGAGAGGGAAGTAAAATGGCAGAACAATAGATGAATTTTTATGCTACCTTTTCCTTAGTTCAATAGCTGATGAGTAATATGTAGTGCTTATTTTACAAGCTTACAAAGAAGTCTCAGCTTTTCTTTCTCTTTTTATTTCTCTGTCCCTCTCTCTCACTCTCTCTGTTTTTTACTCTTCATTTCCTTTCTTTTGCAAAAATGAATTATTTTGCAGGATAGTAAGCAAAAATTCGTCGTTTTTTTATTGATGAAATTTTACTTCCCAAAAGAAAAAAGAAATTTATGAAACAAGGAGATGCTTTCAAATCTGTGATTACAATCATTGATCAAAGAAAAGAAGGCAGGAATGAAAAGAAGAAGACGAGGGACTTATACATTTTATTACTTAATTCTTACTTTTTCATGTTTTAATTCCTTATATTTAACTGATATATTGTAAAATAAGATCAAATGATTAAGCACGCTTACAACAAAAAAAAGTCATCATAAAGTATAAAAGTTGAAGAATTTGTTTATTATGAAAATTCGATTCACTTTAAAAAAAAGTGAATTAAAGGGTAATTCTGTTGATTTTAATTTTTGATAATACTGAATATAAACTATAAACTGAATCATTTTTGTTCATAATTTTTTGATGTTTATATTTTATGCATACGTACTTGTTTAGAATTTGATAAAAGTATAACTGAAGTTAGTAAAATTCAAAAAAATAAAAGAGTAACTAAATTTTTTACACTTTAACACAATTTGTTTTATTTGCCTCGAGGAAATAATATTAAAAATTTTTTTCTGAATGGATAAAAACTGGCATAGTAATTGGTTTTTTTTTTTGGTAACATTTAATCATCGAATAAATCATCTGAAAAATCCATACAGGTAGAAATATTAAAATTGGATAATTTTGGGTCAGAGTAATTCATCAAAGTTCAATCAGTAATTAACTATAATATGCATGTTTCAGTGAACAATTATGAGTAAATACATCCCAGAGAGCAAGCAATATTACAGTTACTCCATTATTCCTAAGCATTGACCGTGATTTGAACATTCTTATTGTTTCAGCATTAATAATTCTAAATAGATAATCATTCATTTTACTCTTTCTGCTGTTATCAATTGATTATTATCATTGCTATCATTATTACCATTAATTACCATTATTATTGTCATTGTTATCAATTATTATTATTATTACTTTTATCATTATCATTATCGCTATCATTATTACTAAAATATTGCGAAATTGAATGGACTAATTAATATATATTTAATCTAAACTTGAGGATAAACATAAGCATTCAAATGCTATTTAATATTAACATTAGGGTTAATCAAATTACACTTAAAATTGAAAATTTTTAAACAATATTGTGATAATTTCTTCTAGAACTGTTATAAGAGATTTTTGATTGTCGATGTTTGGAATTGATCAGAATTAGTGCACTGAAATATTTGAAAACTATTATGAAAAGTTTACTTTTTAGATTCTTAAAAAAAACTTCATATTTCATCTTTGATACCTTTAATATTTAGCAAAAATAATACAGAAATTGTAACTTCGAGTGTTCTTTTACGGCAATTACTACTAATAATAATAGTAGTACTCAACTATTACTTACCTATAATATAGCCATAAGTATTGTTATTGCTATCACCTGACTATTTCATCTAACAATCATGTCCTATAGAAAAGTATGGTTGGACAATGGAGCCATCTGCTAAGCTGAGCTAAACATAATTTTGTCCAATGCTTCTGTTCATTGAAGCAATTGCAAATCATCGGATAATCATACTTTTTATTCATCTCTTCCAACTTTCACAAAGATTATTTTCATAAAATGGAAAAATGAAAGAAATAAATTATTCTTCTCCGCATCTGCTCGTTACAATAATTTCGTACAATTATCAAATTGCTTTTTTGTAAATTTTATTAAAATAAGAAAAAAATTAGTGATCAAAAAATAATTTTTTTCAACAATAATTATTTGCATTTTAATTGAGTGCATAAAAATTTCTCAAAAATTTTCCGATAAATTCCATAAGAATATGGAGGTATTTTTAAATAACAGTAATAATGTTATAGCCTGCAGGTGCATAATATAATAATCCGGCTTGAAACAATACGGTATGACTAAAAATACATAGACATACATTAATCTACAACAACAAACCATATTACAGTGCTGTTTTATCTTATGTAGAGTGGATTTAACTTGTTTTCTGAGCAGTTATTGTAAGTTGAAGTGTAAAGGAGTATTTGAGAAGTACTACAATTACTACTAGTATTGCTACTTTTCGAGTAACATATGTTTATATCTCTTAAAACTCTCCCTCTCCTTCTCCCTGTTCCTCCCTCTCTCTCTCTCTCTCTACATTTTTAATTGAAGAAAGATAGAACGAACATTAAGATATGATTGAGGAGGAAGATGAGAAGATGTTGAAGTACTTCAAACACCCTCTTCAATCAATGTGTCTTTGTGAATGAATAGGAGAGAGAGAGGGAGAGAGAAAGAGAGAGAGAGAGGGGGAGATTTTGATGGAGTGTTTTCGAAATGGTCCATCTCTTCACGCTTTTTTTTTTTAAAGGTACAATTTAGAGGAAATTTTGTAATACTTAACGTCGAATTCTTTTTCATCAAATGTTCACTGAATATTAATAATTCGCAAAAAAATTTTCATTAAAAGATATACTATCATTGTAATAAATGAAATATTTGATGAATACACTCAAAATATACATTTTGACTGTTTTGTAGCGAAAAAAAGCATTTCTAATTAATCAATTTTTTTAAGTTAAAAGTTACAGTATCTGCGATTGTTTGCTAAAGACTTTAAAATACCAAAGAAGATTAGGAAGACAATTGAGAAGATAAACATTGGGTAGCATAAATGGCGGAGATGGGTCATAAGATTTCATGGATAAGTGGATAGTAGGAAAAGGGAAATTAATTGTTGTGTTATAATGAGTTTGCAACTGATAATGATAGCGAGAAGCTTTGAGAATTTTCGAACCACATCATATGAGCAACTTGATAACTAAGTGGTAAATCATTTTACTTAATTTCCTTTCACTTCTATTCTCATTGAATTTAACAACAAAACTACAATTGATCAATAATTCAACAAGTACGGCAATGATGAAAATTATGACTGATATTATCAAATCATGATGATGCTTACCGATTCTAATTACGTTGCATGAATATGAATATTAGCAGATAGAGTAATTACATAGCTTTGCAATCAATCTCAATCTTGATTGACAATTAAATAATAGCCGAATTTTTTCAAACAGCTATTTGAATGGCGAATACTGCAACGATGATTATGCAAAATTGTAATTTTACAATCTCACATCTTTTAAGTTTGCAATTGCAATTTAAAATAAGCCATACTTTGATACTATCGGAATGATTAAATATGAAATTCCTAATATATGATGGAAGATGATAATATTGCACCGAATGTCATATTAATATTTTGCCGGAATATTTTGAGCTAATGCAGATTACTAGCTATTTCAAGGCGAATACCGAAATCGGCTCGTTTGGACCATTCTCAACGCAAATTATTCAAATAAAGACTCGGTTACACATAGCAAATACTCGGGGATTAAACGAATATACCGCTCAAGCTGCACCTAATTAGCACCTAATAACAAGTATCTTTGTTCCCCTCAGAATCCTCAATAACCGCTATGTATGTTGGATTGATTAATGCTGTTTTACGAAAACAAATATGTCGAAAACAATAATCAGGGATTGTCACAACATCCTATAGCTTTTGCAAAATTATCTGATAAAAATGATAAGCTGCAGTTGCCATTATCACATACTGCTGTCGATGTATTTGACCGATAAAGACTACTTAATATCAACCTTTACATTACATTCTATATAGTGTTATTAAAGCAATCACATGCTTCGAGAGCAGTCATTATAAGACTTTATTCAATAACAAAAAAATTCGAATTAACACTGAAAGACACAACCGAAATGATAATCACTGCATGTACCTCGACGTTCCATCGCAAACAAACATATGCTGTATCGTCTTGAATAAATTTACAGAATCCGTTGTATATCCAAAGGTATTTCAGGTCGGTAGAAAAAATACATATAACCACACTAACGGAGCCAATAAAATTTAAAGACACATAACAAGTCATCCACAGTACCGTAACATAAAGGAGACCAAAAGGCGATCCACTTCAAAGAAACATAGGAGCATACAACCTTATTGTTTCATCTGGGAACAATAGCGGTACAGTTAAAATGCTAGTAATTACGTCACAGATGTTCGTCCTCTCACAGGACCTTTTTTTTTTCGGTATGCCTGTTATGTGAGAGGACGAGAGAGCAAGACTGAATATCTCTCATGCTAAAAGATACAAATGATCAAAACAGCAACACCTGTCAAATTTTTGTTGACAAGATTAAGCCAGCACTACCACCTTAATATTTTGTTTGTCATTTGTTTCAACGAAAGACCGACAATGCCGAGAAACTAATAAATGAGCGGTTGCAGAACAACTTATTTCTAACAAAAAGGAAACTAATCATTTGTCAATAGCCCCATTTTAAATGCGATAATCAGTTGAACTCTCAGCAATCCTTAAAATAAGTCATCATTAAAATTCGGTGCAATCAAATCCATTTTTTTTGCATTTGAGTAATAGCAGCATGCATGAAGATCAAAACAACAAATTTTATTAACAAGAAAAAATATTTTCCAAAATAAAGAACTGATAAAAATAAAAAGAGAATTAATCAGGTAGCATTTATTTCTTAAATTTTGTTAAAAGCGACAATGTCGACACTTTGCACCTGAAATAAAAAGGAATGATAAAAAGTGAAATCATATGTAACGTGAACTTCAATTCTGCTTAAACAACAATAAAATAAGTGAAAACATGGAATAAACAAAAATAAATAAATTTAAAAACTAGTAAAAATGTACATGGTCTGACACTTCTTCGGTTATCTGATCTATAAGATCATCCACAGAAACTTTCGCATCTTCCACAATGCATATAATTTGCAGCACTTTAATACCGTAGGCAAGCGGGATCAATTTTGCTAGAAAATTATTCAATCAAGAATGAAATACAGTTGCTCCAACAAACAGAAGCATTCCATAAACAGAAAATGGAAACGGTTAGAATAGAGTGGCATAATTTCAAAGAACGAAGCAGAATTTCTCAAATCTGTCATTGATTACAAAAGAGACAAAAAAAAATTTATGCATATACGAATTATGGATTTTTGAAAAGTATAGTTAAAACTATGCATTTCATATCGTGGAATGCCTTTTTCTATTTTTTGTCAATAAAAAACAAAAACAAGGACAAAAATGGATTTCCGACCATTCGGTTCAACATGTTTTTTAGTCATAGTACCATGACTACATGCAGAATATTACTGTATATGGATATTCAATTACAGGTAACAGTTTTTCACGCAAATAATTTTACAACAAAAACTAACCACCACCCCAGACGAGGCCATCTTTTTCAATGTTCCTCACAAGTTTCTCCATTTCTTGCATATCTGTAGTATCGTCCCAAGGCTTAAAATTTAGCACTAAATGAAAATAAGAAAAAAAACATAAACGAAATCGCAATCTCCTTAGCCTCTGTTTACGGGAAAATTTTTCTAATCTGATAACACTATATGAATAGCATAAAAAACTACATCTGCCAGTTTCTAAAAAAATGCTTTCTAAATTCAAGGTTATTTGAATTTCAAAAACTGCGTCATATTCAACTATTCAATCATATTCGTCATATTCAATCATATGTAATGCGTTTTCCATGCCAATATTTATTATTTAAATAAAAGAAAGGTTTACTTTGAAATAATGAAAAAGCCCACCTTAACATCCAAAATAATAGAAGACTTGGCAATACATTCTGGTTTTTTTGCTTTTTTCTCAGCATAAGCCTTCAGTCTCTCCTGTTTGATACGTTCCTTTTCCGCATCTTCCTCTTCATCCGATGATCCAAATAAATCAAAATCATCCTCGTTCGATGCTTCTAATGGTTTCTCAACTTTCGACGATGATTGTTTTGTCAAAACAGGTAAAGGAATGTCAGTACCCTAAAATAATAATAAATATAGGATTGACAAAACCGTCAAACCTACAAAAACTTCAAAAAATTCTGAAAACATTTCACTGAAATCAGTAAAGGACAGAAAAACTTAACAAATTCAATAAGTTATTATCCGCATCATGAAAAAAGTCTTTCATACATCGCTGGGTAGGTGATCTCCATTTGGATTACATGAATCTCTATAGACATACTACAGGAAACAATTCAAAACATCAAATTTTATTATTACATCAACATAACATATGATTCCTTTAGACTATTAAAGAAATAGAATGAAAATATGAAATACAGAAAACATGAATCTCCAATGCGAATAATTTATTCGGAAAAGAATGTTGAAGAAATACACCAAAATCGAAATATTTCAAACTACGTTACAATCATTTCTAGATGTTGCTCGATGAACCGATTGTTAAGCATCATTTTAATTTCTTCGTGAATAGAGTTACAAAGTTTTCTGGATAATGGAACCCTCCAACTCTGCCACACAAAACGATAAATGTGGTTAGATTGTCCCAAATAGTATGTTTTCTTATCTACAATTTCATAAAAGTCCACCAAAATATTCGCACAGAATTCTTCAATCAAGACAAATAAAATTCTCTCCAACTCTGCAACTTTTTTTGGATTTAAATAAATAATTGATAAGTCTCTTTGAAAAAATGGTCTCCACTCATGAGCAACCCCTCTGATTTTAAAAATCTCATTTTCATATTTAATGAGCTCCTTGATTCTAGTGATGATAGGGCTTCTAATAAAAGTGAGCGTTTCTGATTTAGTTTTGTCGTTAAAAGATCTTTCCGAATTATGGTATCCTGAACTAATATATGGAGGGAACAATTCTGGTTGAAAAATGGAAGCTTCTTGAAGAACAAAGTATTCTTCAGCAGCTATGTAAATAACGTTCCAACTATCCGATCTATGTTCTGGCAATCGCTGATATTTGAAGCATCGTTTAAACAGTATAGATAAATGATCTAATCCGCTTTGTCCTTTAGCAAGAGTAATGTGGAAACGACCCGATAATAATAATCGCCCAACACTTGCAAATGCTTTTCGTATGAGCTGACGACTTTTACGAAGATTTGTTTTTCCACAGTGATGAGGAAAATTCCATATAATATCATCGTAAAACCCTGTCCAATCTTTTGGAAGTGAGCAGACATCGATCGAAAATAATATGTAGACATAAGGATGATTAGTTCGAAGTTCGATAATATTCTTTTTACCGGAAGGATATTTCGTAATATACTCAGAGTAACTCTCAAAAACACTTGCATATATTTCGGTCTCAGGATGTAAACGAGCAAATGCAAGACTGAACGAAAGATTGCCATCGCCAAGAATAAGTGTCCTACTTCCAACTCTTTTCAGTGAAGAGGACATGCAAGGTCTTAACTGCAAATGATACTGAGCTTTACTAACTGTCTATAAAATCACCAACATTTTGGATACTAAAATCTTAGCTGACTAACGAGATATGATTATTTCACTTACTACCTAAACTAAAGAGTCGAAGAAATTAGGTAATTAATTATAGAGAAAAGACTACATCAATATAGAAGAATTAATTTATAGAAATCAAGGAAAATATATGGAAATTACGTGGGAAACACAAAAACAATTCTTTCCTGCCGAAAAGCAATGACTAACCTGATGGACGTAATTCAGTATCTTTTGGAAGTCTTCACGCAATTTTTCAATTTCATTTCGCATTTCATCACTTATTTTTTTTAATGCCGCAACTTCTCCAGTCAATTTTGTTAGAGCACCACTTGTTGCATCTTCTACAACTGAAACCACGAACATATATAAGAACTTGGCGCTAAATTTTTTTTGATGCAGGTGTTTCACTCTATAAGAATAATGTATGACAACAAACAAGATATAATTTTTAGGATGTGAAAATAATCCGTCAGTGATAAATAAGGATTACGCAATATTTACTGAGTGATACGTTACCAAAACTCATTATATGCTTTAGTGTGGTCATGCAATGCTCGAAAAAAAAGCTGTAGTAGATCAGCAGAGATGTTCGAAAATGTACAATCCAAAATAAGGTTAATCGATTAATTTTAATCAATAATGCTAACTGTCAAATAAATCATAACTAAAATAATTTCCCAAACCATCAGAAAATAAAGCTGTCCAATAAAATAACTTTTGCTTTTCGCGTACAACGCGCGCCATTAACTGTATAACAAGTTATTACCATTAAAGATACAGAAGCTCACCTACCATTATTGTCTCCCAAGGCTTGCTTCAATGTCTTTCTTGCATTAGCAATAGCATTATGTAAACCATCCATCCCAATAGAAGTTTCATGCACAATGTCACCATAACTTCTGTTTTTCTGATCCTTGTTTTTACCTTTGCGACGCTCCTGCTCGCCACCATCTGAAAAATTATTGGAACTTTGCAGCAACACTAGAGTTATCAAACTGCAGATAAAAACTTGAATATTCGCCATACAACAAGGAAAATTTTCTCCTGCAGCTGATTAATAATGCAGAAATATGACGAGTGAGTCATCAAAGTACTTTTAAATTGAAACTAAATGATAGCGCATTCGACCATATTTGCGTAGTAAATGGAACAGTTAATAATAGAAAAACTTTTTGCGTGCTTGCCATTCATTTAGTCCCAAATGGTTGCTGGGACCAAGCAAGATAACAATATGCCGATATTTATTTTCAATTCTTAAAAGAAATAAGAACCTGACATTGCTGAAAGACGATTGCTGTAGGACGATACAGAACAAAATTAAGAGAATGAGTAAGTAAGCAGTAACAAACCAGGTATCCCCTTTTTTGATCCATCGTTTGAGTGATAGTGGTAGAGCATTTTATCACCAAAAAACAATTCATCCGCTGCTTTCAACGTCAACTGGTGGCTAAATAATGTGGTCACCTCCGGCAAGAGACTTTCTATCGACACCATCTTTCTGTAATAGATTTACGCATTCTAATTAACAAGTCAAGTGATAAGCAATTAAGCAGTGAATAAACTAACAATATGTTTATCTTTCATAAAACAAATGCAACATAAATATTCTTTTCAAGAGGCTAATCTTTGAATTCAAATAAAACTTAGCTTTCTTAATAACTCTAAACTTGCTTGATTTCGCTTGTAAATCAATCCCGACGGAAGTGCATTACTTCTACACATCATTCTCTAACTCTCAACCATAAAAAAATTAAGTAATCGTTTCCCCAAATGAAAGTTCCTCCTAAAATTCCTTCCACCTCCACGCATTATCCGTTGCGTCCAATGATCTAGCAGAGTTGCATACTGAAACCACATGCATACCCGTCACATAGAACGCAAGATCGGTTCCCAGTTGAGCTGATTTTGTGTTTTACGGCGATAGGTTCATAATTTAGCACTGTGATAAGCTCTCTGATAGCTTCGACACTGATAAGCTTACATGAATCAGATATGAACTAATAACTAAATATAAGTGAAAACTAATGAGTACGAGTAAATAAATAGACACAATGAGGAGAATGCGGAAGCGAATGAAGAATTGTTATTATCAACTTACATTCAAACTTTCTCTGCAGTTAAAGTGTAATTCTGGTTGACTTCGATAATACTACTTATAATTAATGTTTGGTAAATAATCATTTGGTTACTGCATTATTTAATTAGTGGTTCATCATTTGGTTATTATCTTATATAAAGTTTTTTCCTCCCTTTATCATATTTACAATAACTGATTTTGATTGTTTATCATCCTTTTAGCAGGATCAAATATCGTTCTCGGATTTTATTTGTACCTAAAATAATCGATAATTAAATTTCTATTAGCAGAATGAAAAGTAACACACCTCGACATGATGATCGCCGCTCCATGGTTTCTGTTTCCAGTACTGGCAGCAGTGGCTTGGTGGAGGTAGCAAGTCAACGATCAGCTAGTGGACAACTGCGGAAGTATAATTTTTAGTCTGAAAATGCACTGCATACTTTATACTGAAACTAATGAAATTTTAATTTAACGTTCAGCTCTTTGACATGTTCACTTAAAAAATGGTTGAGCCGGATTTAATTTTAATTCCTCTAATTTCATCATAAGTTACCTCTGACAGCCTTTTTGGTCATACAGTCTAATGAAATTATTTTCTCTGAAAGTTCCAATTTTCAGTTAAAATCAGAAATTTTGAAATGGCATCATTTTGGAATATTGTGTAATCATCTAAAACAATCTGAAATAATCCTATGAAGTATTTTATTAAAATAAAATAACTGACTTTATATAAGCATCACTTGTTGAGTAATAAAATTAATATGTACGTGGTAGTAATTTGAACATTAACGAAGAAAAGCACTAAAAATATTAAAGTTTAAATTCCTTTAAAGGATACTTGCGGAGATAAAAGCAAAATGACGTTGAAAGAAAATGGAGGGAGCAACTGCGCAAGTTCTCCGGCTCAGCTGTTATGAATCTACTTAATCCTCTAGAAATTTTCGTGGAATTTTCAATCTACTAAATCTTCTAGAAATTTTCGTGGAATTTTAGATTCACCGCTGGAGTAGGCAAACCGGGACAGGCTCGAGAGGCCCGTGAAGCAGTACGAACAGCAATGAGTACAATGAATCCGACGGTTATTTGTTGTATTATTAATTAGTTAAGCTTTCTTTAAGTAATCTGATTTAATAAACATAAACAAAGGCTTGTATTTATTAAATCAAAATGTGCTTAGGAAATTTCCTCAGAATTTGAGAAGTGAACATTTTGATGTCTAAATGAAACAAATTGTCCTGAATTTTTTGAATTTCTTGAATTCTGATTGTTATAGCGTAAACGACCATTGGCGGAACCATTGGATTATGAAAAATTTTTGGGAGAGAACAGCTCGGTAATAGAAAATCTTAGTCAAAGAGAGCTGCTATTGTTTCCACGCGATGATTTTACGGTATTTTTAGTCTTTTAATTCCGATATTTAAAATTAGCATATTATTTATTGCAATGATTTCCACAGCATAGTCATCGAAACTCTGTATTTGCAGAATGTGTAGGCTTCCACTTTACTTCACTGCTTCTTATTGATATTAAAGTCTTCCCTAATTTATAGGAAATTAAAAAAAATAATTTAGGAAATATTAGTATCTCCAGTGGAACGCACGGTAGTGCCATCATTAAGTGTACGAGAAATAACAGAAGCAAAATGGTTACTTACGCAAGAAGTCCTTTCATTTTACATTGCTTCATATCGTGTTGTCCGTTTTAATTATGTGCAATTCGGTTCTGATTATCACAGTACTTCTGAGTAAGCTATCTATAATGTTAACCTTTTAAATATTATTCAAATTGGTTTCTTAGAATAAATTACTATATCTTAGTAAATATTAGTGGCTATAATATCGAAACATATACTCTATTATTGAGGAATGAAATTTCCTTCCGATATCAGTATTCATTATTAAGGAATAAAGTTTCTAAATATTTAAATCGAATATAAATTACAAAAAAGTTGGTCTTATTGATTAATAACAGATATACAATGGCAGTAGATAACTTCGGACTAATTAAAATTCTTTTTTCCAGTTATGATATCGATCTTCAGCCATTAATTTATGAAAGTGATATGGTCTATGATGAACAAAAAGAGGTAAATTTTTCTTTCATTCTTTTCTCATACTCCAAATTCTTATTAATATTCGTTCTAATATGCATGATTTCAGGAGTTGGAGGGTCGCTACAATTCAGATGTTATTCGAGAAGGATTCTTGTTTATTGTTCCAGAAACTAGTCTTTTGGATAATTTCAAGGTAATTGACCTTGATGATAAGTCCCAATCAGTTGTCAGTGTATGCATGGGACTTCTGAATTAGCTATCCTCGAGAAACTGCTCCATTGCAATATACGTCCATTTTTAATTCCTCAGTCAAGGAATTACTCTATTTGAACGATTAGTTATGGCCTCTAGTTAATTTATAAAGGGGGAATTGAATTATCTAGGTAAAAAATGTTACTTAGATTTAAAAAGTTTCAAATTATGTTTCTAGAGCATGAAGAAACGTTACTGTGTGTTGAGGAAAGATGAAGACGGGAAGGTTCTCCTAGAAATGCGAAAATCACAATTTGCGACATTAACACATCCACCAATGATCATACAGCAAGCAGCTTTGTCGACTAGTAAAAAAGGCAGAAATGTTCTTGAAGTAAGTGTAAATAACTGTTATCTATTCAGATAAGACTTCATTCGGTGAGCAAACAGCTAAACGTAAATTTTTTATATAGAAGTTTCTTATATATGCTTTTGAATTTGGTTCTGAAATTGTATGGGTAGTGTAAAATTTTAATATACATGTTTATGTCTTATCATCACTGTTACTTATAGAATCGTTAGTTAGTTATACTTATAGAATCTGCTTATAGAATCGTCAATTCATTTTTTGACTAGAACGTAAATAAACTTTTATTTTTTCTTATTTGACTTATGACGACGCTAGGCATAACTTTCCTTGCGATATTTGAATTATGAAAATAATAAACATGCATTGGAGGTGAGTGGATATGGTGCAGAAAGGCGTTCATGGGTTTTGGCAGCTGATTCTGATAGCGATTTACCGCGATGGTTAATTGAAATTGATCGTGCTTTGGCTGGTGATTATAAAGGTTACTTGTCTTCTTATAATAAAAGGTCACAAACTATGGGTGGAGAAAAACAGTGAATAAATTTTTTGCTGTTTCAGGTTTGGATTTTTTCAATTTTTCCTCATGTTCAATTCTTTAAAAAGCTATTCACAGTTATAACTTTTTAATTAGTATTACGTGCATTTTAAATTCAATAGAAAGAGGTAAAAAAGAATCATTTCAACGAGTAGCTGATTTTCATACTCAGAAAAGCAGGTTGTTGTGCGAGCAAACATTACAGCAAATTCGATTGTGTTCTCTTAATCATCATCGATACTTATACGATTAAGAGAAGACAACCGAAAAAATTGTAATAGGCTCTTTCTTAATTTCTTTACTTGGTGGATTTTCACAAAAATTATCAAAATCAATAGAAAAGGAAGAAGAATTCACTTATCAAAGTATTGGAAGAAGTGTGAAGGCTAGTAACGGCTTGATTATTTAGCGGTGGGCAAGCGATTGTTATTCGTGTTTGATGACGAATTGCCGCACAACTATTTTCTCTTGTTGACATCATCAGCAACACGCTGTGAATAAATAGTTTGCATTAGCTTTCTGTGTGTATATATATGTATGTGTATATATATATATGTGTGTATATGTGTGTGTGTGTGTGTGTGTGTGTGTGTGTGTGTGTGTGTGTGTGTATATGTAAAAATGAACATCGGGAAAATCAAAAAAATAATGCAGCAATAATACCATCATGAAGCGAATTGCACATTTTCTACTGTAGTAATTGTTCACACAGAATAACTAAATTGTTTCACGTTTGTGAAAGAAATTTAAAATATTAAGATTTGCAAAAGCTGATGAGATTAGTATTCTGCAAATCATCATCTAAAATATCTGGTTTATATACTTGAATTGTTATAAAAATATCAAGATTATCTGACACATTCCGAAAAAAATGTTTGTACAGGGGTATGCAAAATGGATAACACAGATCATACATGCTAAAGAACTTATATATGATAGCATGCTAAATATTAAAAATTTCTATATTCGTTACAGATCTGTCAGTTTAGCTGGAATTTCAAAATTCAGTTTAGCTTTTGGTAGTATTTATGTTCTAGATGGAATGCCTTCAACGAGTACTAATGCAAGGCTAGAATCAGCGGGCACAGCAACAACAGAAGCAAATGACGAACAAGTCTCGACTGCAAGTAATGATTCTAGCGGTTGGTTAATTTTAAATTATGAGTTAAATCTTTAAACATATTGCATGTCAACAAACAGATTCGTTGAATATTTCTATGAATTAAACTCATCATAAATGATTTATTTTTGAGAGCTATTTGGAACTTGCTTTTGGGCTGGGCGCAATGCTGCCTCAAAAGCCTTGCAGCCGCCTGTTGTTAAAAGACGTTCACTGTTCGCACTATATCCTGATCTTGATGTTAGTTATTTTTTTGAATTGATTATTTGTTTCTCATATTTTTTAAATTGTATTTCTCTATCTGAGAAGCATTATCTTTTAGCGATTATCAATGCCAAAAAGTGAAGCAGGCTGTTTGCTGGAAGACATTGTTGCGAATGAGGTAACAAGGCCTCCGGAAGATAAGACTGTGGTACGGTTTGTTGTGGAGTTCCTGAATTTGAATATTATGTTGCCTATTTCAAATACAAATGTACAGCAGGTGCTTTCTTGAAATATTTAAAGACTTCAGTATACATCGGTATTTTGCCACCGAGAATTTCTTATTGGATAACTTTTTAAAGTTTAACAAAACATTAATTTTTTCAACATTAATACTTCTGAACTGGCTGAAGTATTAACGTTAAAAAAAGTTTAATATTAAATATTAATACTATTAGATTGCGAATTTCTTATTGTCGTTTTGCATCGATGTCATATTCAGATTGAACCATTCTTTGTGCGCATATTTTTGTACGATTGTCGAGCTGGTCATCGATTGTCCGAAGAGTTTCAAATTGATCCGAATAGCGACGAATTAACTGCGACATTAAAAATTGGTGGCAGAGATGGAATTGGCAAAAGTTTAGTTGATAAAAGCACATTGGGAGAAGATGGTGTCAATACTTTGTCTGAGAGAATACTTGCGGATAAGAATGTTCGAAAGGTTATTCTTACAAAAATTAAAAAAATTTCTATGGGGATTTTGTTTCTTTTAGTTTAATAAATATTTCGTTGTTTTTTTTGCAAGTTTGCGCTTACCTTTTTTCTTCTTTATAACGCCATGGCTCATATTTTACTTTTTTTTCTGGTTAACGAGGAATAGCGGGAATTTCAGTTTAGCTCTTTGCATTCATATTAGTTCTTTTGATCGTTTCTTCATATTTATTAATTTCTCTTCTCGGAAACATTCTGTCGTTTTCTTGAGCTGTTGTGCGCTCATCACCATATTATCATATCAGTTCATAACTACTTAAATTTGCAGGTTGTATATTCAATTGCCAAGCCACATCGTGATATTTATCTGATTGTTCGTGTTGATCGACTACTATCGGTTGATACATCAGCAGAAATGTATATGAAAACATCAAATGATCTGAAAGGTGTTGCAAAGTTACAGAAAATGATTCAACAGGCCTGTTCGAAAGCGACACAGGATAAAATGTCTTTTGCTTGGGCTGCAAGGTCTACTTTATTACTTGTAACTAAAATGCTTGCTGTTTAATATCTAGATTATCTAAGGCACAGCTCTTCTGCTTTTCATGTTGATTCTTTTCGTTATCTTCATTGTTGAGATCTTCAACAAGTCGCATTATATATAAATGTATCATTCTTTTCCCAGATTTTTTTTTGCTTGTCCTGAACTATCTTGCATTTGATTCATCAGTCATTTTTATCTTTAGAAAAAGGAACAAAAATGATATGACTGATGTTTAAAAAGTACGCGGTTGACATTTGATATGATGATCATCGATGTGAAATAATTTTTTTTTCATTAGAATTATTCTTCATATAACTCCAATTTTTTTCAGACCGGTATTTCAAGAAATGTTAGGATGTGGAACGAAATTGCCGAATGAAATGCAACTCTATCGTTGTGAAGGAAGTAAACTAAGTGACGGAGATTTGCAAAGGATTCTCGTTGATTTTGAACGGTTGGTTTTCCTCATACAGGTTACGGTAACAGATTTGGACAGTTAAAAAAACCTGTTTTATTGATTTTGGCTGTTTTCATTCTAGAATCGAAAAATCCGGAAAACTCACACAATTACCAACGGCAACTGTTAGCATGAATATCGATTTCTTGTCAAAGACATCCGAGCTGTCAAGTCTGTGTTTTTTTCCGATATATATAGAAAGTATTCATGTAATTTCTGCATGTTCTAGTATTTGTTTTTTTGCTTTCAACGTTTTTTTTCATACTGGTTTCAATGTTATAAATTTTCCAGTGTGTATAAATTCGAGTTTTATGCCTGTTCGTCCATGGAATGCAACATCAGATAGCCTTGTGTCAGCTTGCTTTGAAGCCCAGTCTTTCAACGATTTTGTTAGCGAGCCGCATACAAGTCTTTTCAATTTACTCTATGTTTATCCATTAACACTTAAGTATGATGGCCAGAAAGCGTTTAATAAAGCACGTAATATTGTGTGTACTGTACGTTTCATTTCTGCAACCAGAGGAAAAGACATATCCAAAGTACGTTGCTTTTAAATCTTTTCAATTAAGTAGTATGGGATAATAATGCGCATACATAAGGAAGTATAAGGCTAGAACAGAAAGCAATTGATTGAGGAAATTTGAGTCTGGTAGTTGTGTTTGTCATTTATTCAATGAATGAAGAAATTTTTTTAGTTTGAATCTCTTTATAATATACTCAAACCTATTTAATTAAAATGATCATTTTGTCATCTGATTTCTTAAATAATTTTAACTTTAGGTCATTTACAATCGATTTGCATCACCTACGCCATTTGTACATAGCATGCGTTGCTCAGTGCTGTATCACGAGCAAAACCCAGTCTTTAGTGATGAGGTATTTTTAGCTGCTGAATTTCTTGGTGGATCAATCAATAATATCATTTGGTCGCTTAGGCTATTTAATGGAAACTTATTTAGCTAACAACATCTGAGATAATAGATGAATATGTACAGATTTATCTATTACCCTAGATTATGGATAAATTTACTGATTTACATGGTGATTATAGATAAATTTGCCTATAATTTTACATTATAGTTAATGTATTCTGCTACTTTCTTGGTTCTGTAAATTGTAAGATGTAATTTTATTGAATTTCAGATAAAAATTCAGTTGCCAGTTTCATTAGATACTGGCGATCATTTATTATTTTCATTCAGTCATGTGTCGGTTGCAGGGATCACTTCAAACAAATCTCAAAATGAGGTTTTCTCTAATTGTTATATCACTGCTTAATTTTCACTGTTTGGGGAAAAATTTAGAACTTTTATGATTATCTTTTGTAAAAATAAACTGGCAGTTGCTCGTGGTCATATTTTTTTTATATCTTCTGAAATTTTTATGAGATTTTTCCTGCAATTTCAGAATTCTGATAGTCCTATTGGATATGCGTGGTTACCTTTGTTAAAGAAAGATCGTTTAATTATTGAACGAGATGAGCAAGAGTTTTCATTATCGGTTGCCATCGATTTACCATCTGATTATATAAACTACCAGTCACTAGGATTTGGAAAAGGAGCAAGTTATTCCTTATGTGATATGATATTTTTCCATTTTAACATCACTTTTCAAATTCTAAGTTCTTTTTCTGATGATGTTATCGATCTTTTTTACTTATTCCATTTGTTTCTTCTTCTACTCATGAATAATTGAAAACAGTACCCATCTCACGTTCTGCTTATTTCACTTTTCCTTTTTAATTCACTTAATTTCATTACAGCATATTGGACCAGATATCCACTGGGTAGATAATGGCAAACAGTTATTCCGTGTGCGTCTGCGACTTGTTTCATCAGCATTTACAACAGAATCAAAGTTGCAAGCATTCTTTCAAAGTTGTCAAAAACTTCAACGTGCAGGTGTTGCTGGCGATGCATCGTCAAAAAGCAAAGTTGGTTTGTTATTCTAAATTTAGTGCTACTGTTGCAGATAAGACGTAGAAGAAAAGATTAACATTGGAACGAAGAAAGAGATAATCAGCAGATTATTTTTATGGAGTTGCGCTATCCACATATTGTCAAAATTGGATTTTTTCCATTTACTTGCTTATATTAACATTTTTCATCTGTCGTGTTGCATTTTCACTAATACTTGCAACTTATGTTGAAAACTAAAAATTATTAAATTGTTTCCATTTTTACATACTTTTTCTTTATATTTTTGCTTTATCATGATTTCTGTTGTTTTATTTGAAATCATATTTCTTTATATTTGTGTGAAGCATAACACTTATGGCAACTAGTTAAATTCTAGTTTTTCTAGAATATCTAAAGGAAGCTGATCATTGATGATTTGTCGAACCATTAGTTTTCACTATTGTAGTGGTCCAGTCCGCCGGGTTCAATTTCGGCAGTTAGCAATACACCGCCGTCACCTTCCTCATTACCGGTCAAACGTTCCTGTTCACCATCTATCGAAGATTGTGGAATTTCGAAGGAGGAGAAGTTTTGGCATTATGTAGTGCGGAAAATCGAGGTGAGGCTAGTTCATATAGTTTCGTCGTAAAATTACGAATGCATAACACTAGTCCATAATCTAAATGATTGTACTCGATGTCGCCGATATTTTGGTGAAATAAATTACTTCAATAATCAGAAATTCCGATTGGTGCTGCTAATTTTATTTGTTTATGGCTCTCATTGAAATTACAGTTTAGATGTATATCCTGATATGAGATAAGAAAATATTACTTTCTGTTAACCGTTAAAGGGCTTTGCTTTGTTTAACAAAATACTAAAAAGGGTTTTTCATCACTTTGTTGCTGTTTAATTTCTTCGTTTTATCTATATATACATTTATTTATGCTTTAAATTACAGCAAAATTCGCCAAACTAATCCAGAGAATAGTGTTTTAATGTTCAGTGGACTTGTTTTTTCTTTTTTGGTCTTATAATAATTATGATAAATTAGCAATAAATTCATCTCTGTAATGAATTTAATGTGATTGCAGTAAGCATAAGGATTAGATGTAGGTAGAGAAACATTTATTAGAGAGCTGTGAGCAGTTTTATCTCTCTCGACTTCATATTTTGCTATCAGATTACACACTGTGTGATAAAGTAATTCTTCCAGTAAGTATGCTGTTGGTTGATTTCCTATTTTTTTATAAAGATTCCAAGAATTTTCAATTTCAAGGATTTATTACAAACAAAGCGAACGGAACTGTTGATATCAAGACTTTTGCACGTTTCGCAGAAACTTAATTTTATCTCATTTCGAAAATTTCAACAAAATAAGCGCAGAGATATAGGTAGCATTAAACAAAGTTATTCGAAATTTGTTTTAGCTGTTAGATAAAACTGATGGAAGATACTCGAGATAATATAGCGTGCGTGACTTTTACTTTACGAATTTACAGGAACTGTTGGAAGTCGAAATTGATAGAATCATTCCATTCTTGCCGGTAACTTTGAATCGGTTATTCACCTTATTGCCATATTCGTCAACCGATGAAATAGCTCTGAGCACTTTGAGGTTTCTTCAAATATTTTCGGTCTAAAAGTAAGAGTTATGCCACTGTTTAAGGGTAGTATATACAAAAGCTTATTAGTTTGAAAAGTGATTTATAGTTTATATCCTAACCATATGAGCAGCAGTTGAAGTGTAAGTCAGAACTTTCTTGGATATGTTATGAGCAATTTTTTCGAGCATGTTTTGTTTTTTTAGAAAGATGGTTATCGGAGTTCATGAACTAGTATTAATTTTATATGTGATTTATTGATTGTCGTTTATAGGACCTTGATTGGTATTACTGATAAAATTGCTGCAACAGGTCAAAATCATCTTTTGCGTACATTTGTCATTTATTATTTCCAACCAGCAGCAATGAAAGGCAAATCAAATCTTGAAGACGAAACCGTACATTCAGCCTTATGCAAGCACATCACTTCTCATGTAAATTATAACACCATTTTTTAATTCGTTCTTTATCCGAATTGGATTATTTATTATCTAGTAACTTGTTTTATTTAAATTATTGTTCATTCACAACATTACTTTATTCATAAATTGTTTCGATAGCAAGCACTACTATAAGTTTCCAATTTTTTTAAAGAAACTTTCAAAAGATGGTTTTTTAGATCAGCTGTGTTCAGACAGATAATGACTCACTTGTCTCAGCATTCCGGCAACTTTGGTTTCTTCTGGTTGTTGTTGCGAAGAGCATGGCATTATGGTTGCTTGATGTCGGTTTATATAAGGTTTGATTATTTCAATAAGTACGAACATGTTGATTTAGATAAACGAAGGATTTCTGCATTTGTATTGTAATTTTTATTAAAAATTTCTTTTAATTTGTTGATATTTAAGGTACCGAGAGAAAATCGTTTTTCACAGGAATTGCTGTTTAGAATTGAACAGTTAATTGATAAAGTTGTACCTCTTATCATAGCAAAACACCGAGATATTCCTCAAGAGTGTCGACTGGCAAATTCAGCTGTAGCTTATTTCTTAAGGGTAATATTTTATCGATATTTATTAACTAATGGATATTTTTAAAATGATAATAGAATTATTGAAAAATGTTGTTTGAATGGTTAATAAATTTTTGTTTAAATTTTGAGCATGTTAAATGAGGTACCAGCAGCAATGAAAAGCAAATCAAGAAATATTTTAGTACTGCTTGAGTTTTATGAATCGTGGGTCCGTATTCTCCTGGATATATCGCGTCGTTGAAAATATGGATGAAAGTTGCTCAAGGGTATGTCTATTTTTCAAACAGTTAAACACTCTTGCAATTTAGCGACCTGAGGAGATTAGTTAGGGGAAGATAGTGTTTCATTTTATCCAGCGATGTGCGTAGGCTGACAGAAAATTCAGACAAATGTTATGACGTGCATATGTTAAATTTCGTTTTCTAACATCTGGTATATAGTTGCCACTATTGTATAACCACTATTATATAACTTTTTTATACAGTTTATTAAGTATTCCTTCATGCAGTTATCTGAATCAGTTGAGAATCAAACACAATTTGCTGAACTCAGGACATAGAAAAATTTATTCTAACTCTGTTTGCAGACTATACTTGATTATAAACTGCAATTTTTGCACATAATTAGCAGTCACGAGCACTGGATACCACTATGCTTGCCGCTTATGTGTGATGTTTCCGGAAATATCTTCAGGAAGAACAACACACCAAATACAGATAACATATGTATTTTATTAGCATATTTGATTGGTAGTTCAATAAAGCCTATTTTTTCAATTCTACAACTGAATACTTTCAGAAACAAACTCATTCAGATTTACTGCTTGTCCAAAAATTCATTAAATTAAAGGAATAGAAAGCAAAGGCTTTGAGAAGAAAATAAATGCCTAATGCCTTTTAGTAAATAAGTTGATGTGCTTCAATATTTTGCTTGGTTGATTCGAAAATTTTAATTCACTTTATTTATAGTCACGAACTCTAATACCAGCAATTTGTTTACCAATTTATTTTCGAAATTTTTTTCGCCTTCGATAAACAATGGGAGTGGGAATGACTGTAGTTGTAAGTTTATTTTTATAAAATTTTTTCTACTGTATCAAATGATTTTCATATATTTCTCCACACTGTTGATCACCACAAGCCAAATAACAAGCAATTTCAATGAAATATCCTATTTCATT